TTGGAGATAAGCCAATTGTCGTGGGAGTCCATCGTTTCACAAAACAGAAACCTTAGGAAAGATTTTAGGACAAATGGCACAAGTCCTGCCAAGGAAATATAAAAATAGGAATTAGAAAATCCCAATATTAGGATTTTCAGAGCTGAACCCTCTACTCCCCAACTCTGTGACCCAGCTATATATGTAGCCACAAAGTGAGAAAAAATTTGCTGGAAGTCTTCAGATACTCTTTTGTCAAACATATATCTGAGTAAAGAAAAATAAAGGAGGCAGAAATTAAAAAATGGCATGGAAAGTGGTAAGATGTTGACAGAGTGAAGAACCTGAGCTCACCTCATATCTACACTCAGAGCTAGAGCAGCAAAACCAAGCCATTAACTCCTCAGGGAAAAGCAGGTGATTGCTGCTCATTAGGAGCAACTGCTGGAGGAGGGGGCCGTGAGCAGTGGGATGGACCCAGGTGGCAAGGTGAGAGCCAAGGGTCCCACAGGCCCCATGAGCAGCCGCTCAGACCTGAACAGCTGAGACAGGCCTTTGAAGCTGCCCAGACCTTTGACTCCCTAGCAAGCAGTGGGCACAGCCTGGCAAGGGTGCAAACGGAATATATCCTTGCAGCGGCAGCCACACGCCTGGTCTCTGTTGACTCCAGTAATATTTACTCAAGAAAATTTGCTTGAGCTGGATAAGCATAGTAGGAATCTGGAACATTTGAATCATAACCTACTTCTGCCCTCCCTTCTTCCAGCTCAGCAAAAAAAGAAAGTTCCCTCTGGTTGGATGCAGCCACGTTCATAGGGCTCCCATTGCTCTTAGCTGCCACACAGAGGCAGGTTGCTAGTATTTACCAAATACCCTCGCTACATTTGGCAGAAGCCAATTCTGAGTGACTGTATGAAAAGTCAGAGGTTCCCTCACTCCACCCACCCCATACTCCTAAGCCAGGGACTGGTAGGCTAAAAAGACAGGAGTCTGACTCTTCTCACCCCAGCTTAATTGTAGGGTGGAGATTCCAATGCCACTTACGCCTTATACGCCCCTCCTGAAGAAAGTGTGCCATACTGGCAGCGGTTTCTACTCAGTTCCATGACTCAGAGATAGTTTCTCGAGAAAGGGGCATAGAGAGCTCTCAGACACTCCCTATGAATTTGACTTGAATTAGTGTGTGGGAGAGATTGAGCCTACAGGTGCTGGTAACAAGGAAGGTGTTTGACAAGCCAAAGTCTGACCAGTACATTTGCTGGAGAGAAATGGGTCAGATAGAATAAACCTTGTGCAGTTTTCAGGAAATGTCTCTAAAATGATGCCCAGATTTAATTGTGTTAAACTGTGGAGCAATTTACATCCCAGGGCACTATAAAAATAAGAGTATGCTAGCCAGAAATTAAAGGAGTCCAACAACCGTGTGACTGGGAAAGCTACAGTCAAACAGAGCCCTGATAAAGCTCCCAGTGAGTGCAGGCCCAAGGATGTGCCCTCAGGAGCAACATCTGAAGCTTCACACTGAAATAGTATCACCAGTAACAAAGCAAAGAAAAGGTGGAAATATAATAGGGTGGTCTCCAGGAAAAAGGGAGGTTCCAAATGGAACCTCCCAAATGGAGTATGGAGCTGAGAAGAGAGAAGACTCTGGAGAGGAAACTGAAGAGGAAGGAAGCAGGATGGAGAGCAAGAAGGATACCTGGAGGCACATGGAGCAGAGACACGTGAAGAAGCGGCTCCCGTTTCTTGGACCTGGATTGGTTGAAACAATTGTGGGGGAGAGACCCATAAAGTGGCAGTTTTTATCTTGATTTTAATTTTGCTATTTTCCTCTCAGACTTGTCTGGCCATTTCTGACCCTTTCTATGGGTCTCTGCCAGAGGCGATTTACAGTTGGGGTGGGCTTCAGGCCTTGCTTTGGGCCAATCCCTTTTGGGTGGACTTTTACCTATGATGGGTAACTTTGGGTGTTTGATTTAGAATGCATTCATCTTTTCTGTATTGCACACTGATTGTTTTAAACTTTCTTTTCCATTAAAGGTCTCATATGTTTTGTCCTGATGCTGTGGATGATAGCACCTATTTAGAGCAGGAAGGTTTGGGGGTTCAGGGATGCCCCTCTTCCTGCCCTGTAACAGAACACTACAAAAGGAACAAAGGCCCTCTCCTGTGAAGAAGAATTACATTCTCAATATCAATGACTCACTGTTTCTACTCATGTAAATTAAGTTCAAACTTAAGGTTAGTGAGAACAGTCTTCACAGAGTAACATCTATGTGGGCTACTTTCTATGTTGACACATCACTTTGATTACATCACTTTGATTAGCTAATTAATGCTAACTTTACCCGGGAAATCAACTTTTCAATTAACAAGCCTCTTTGACAACCCAGCAAAGCTGGATCCCAATTTTCTAGAAGGAAAAACACCTTTCTTATCTGCTATCTTTCAAAAGCACATCCTGTTGGCACAACATAATAGATATGGGTTTGTACAATATAACAGATATGGGGGACATTTTAGGCTTATGGATCTTTATAAGAGCTAGGTCAGATGAAGGTCATACTTTTTTTTTTTTTAAGATTTATTTATGCATACAGAACTGGGGTACAGGCCAGAGGTGCAGGGGCAGTAAGAGGATTCACCAAAGATAGAGTGGGGAGCAGAACAGGCAGATCAAAGAAGCACACTGCTGAGGGAGTAGAGGACAGGCCAGGAGAGGTCTGCCACGCCATGTGGTCACCTCCCCGGGTGGGGATCTAACTCATGTTAAAAGTGGCTTTAGCTTCATTAGTGCTGTGCTTTAACCAGCTGCACCACCACGGAGGGCCCTCATAGGTTTCTTTAAATAAACGAACAAACAAACAAAAAAACCGTCAAAATCCTCTCTGACCAAACCCGTTGGGGGATAGTGTTTAAAACAATCTCTTTGAAAAATCCCTTAAATTGACTTCCTCCGCATAAACTTGCTTCCTTTCGTGGGAACCTGAAAACAAGCAGGGTCTTGTGGTCCCTGCTCGAGCGGCAGAACAAAGCCGCACGAGCACCAGGCGTCCTCCTCCCGGGCTGCTCCCCACACCTGGGAGCGCACAGATCCATTGGATTGGGGAAATGGGGCGCGTGGCCTCGGGGGCGGGATTTCCAGGGGGCAAGGCTGCCGGCCCAGGATAGGTGCAGGGTGAGTGTACCAGGGCGTGATCCGACCCAGAAGCAGCGGGAGAAGCCGAGAGGCAGAGGGCGGGTGTAAGGGAGCGGAAGTGGGGCGCCGGGAAACCGAATAGGGGCTCCGGGAAGCGGAAGGAGGGCGGAGAAAGGGGGAAAGGACCGCGGGGGAACGGAAGGGGAAGTCGCCGTGGCGGAGCGCGGCAGCCTAGAGTAGCGGTAGCAGCTGTCACCTGGGAGAACACCCCAGCGTGCTGCTGTGCACGGAACGTTTGTGGGTTCCAAGTGCAAAGCACCGTCGTCGCGAGCCGCTGTGTAGCATACTGCCCTCTGCTGGGCGCGGGGCTCAGTGCGGCGCGCCGGGCCGACTTGGCGGGGTGAAGGAGGGTGAGGTGCTGGGGGGCAAAGAGCCGGAAAACATTTGCAGCACTGTAGGGCGGCGTGCTCTCAGCACACCTATTTACGTTGAGTACTTCCCAGGCTCTGTGCTCAGTAAGTATTGTTTCCTGCAACTTACATAATTGTCCTCCAGTAATTAGTTAAAACTTAATCCTCCGTTTCTTGCAGATAACTTGAAGCAGACAAGTTTTCAACCCCAAACGACCGACCTATTTTTAGTGGGGCCTTTTTTTTTTTTTTTGGTTTGTTTTGACCCTTTTAAAAGGGCACACACAAATGTCACAAGTAGAAGGGACTAAAACCACAGAAAAGTGACCACAGTTACTTAGGTCTTGAAACGACT